AACCTGATAGAAGAGAAAGTGGGAAGTACCCTACAACAGATGGGCACAGGAGATCGCTTCCTATGTATAACCCCAGATGGGCACAGGAGATCGCTTCCTATGTATAACCCCAGCAGCACAGACACTAAGGGCAACATTGAATAAATGGGACCTACTAAAGCTGAGAAGCTTCTGTAAAGCAAAGGACACTGTCACTAAGACAAAAAGGCAACCTCCTGACTGGGAGAAGATCTTCACCAACCCCGCAACAGGCAAAGGTCTGATCTCCAAAATATATAGAGAACTCAAGAAACTAGACTTTAAAATGCTAATTAACCCAATTAAAAAATGGGGCACTGAACTGAACAGAGAATTCTCAAAAGAAGAAGTTCAAATGGCCAAAAGACACCTAAGGTCATGCTCAACCTCATTAGCAATCAGGAAAATGCAAATCAAAACAACTTTGAGATATCATCTTACACCTGTCAGAATGGCTAAAATCAAAAGCACCGATGATAGCCTTTGCTGGAGAGGCTGTGGAGGAAGGGGTACCCTCATCCTTGGTAAAGTTTTTAAAGTTAGTAATATTACAAAAGTTTAATATAATAAAGTTTAACCTTGACCTCTCTGCTATTGTGTTTGTGTGTTAGAACTTAACCAATGGTATGTGCCTATGTTCACTTAAACGTGGTATTTGTGGATTGTACCCTAACTATTAGCTTTTTTTCTTGTTTTTTTTCCCTTTAATATTTATTTATTTATTTATTTATTTATTTATTTACTTATTTATTTATTATGTATAGAATATTCTGTCTGTGTGTATGTCTGCAGGCCAGAAGAGGGCACCAGATCTCATTACAGATGGTTATGAGCCACCATGTGGTTGCCGGGAATTGAACTCAGAACCTTTGGAAGAGCAGGCAATGCTCTTAACCACTGAGCCATCGCTCCAGCCCCTAGCTTTTTATTTATTTATTTATTTATTTATTTTAATGGCTTGATGGGTTGGTTCAGAAGGCTTACTAAACAAATGACAAATTTCTTGCTGAATAAATACTGGTTTATGGCTAGAGAGGATGGAAAACTGTGACTCTTTTTTTTTAATTTATTAGATTATTTTTTAAATACCAATCCAAATTCCCACTCACTCCTTTCCTCCCATCTCCTCTACCCACTCTCCCACCCCCCTCTAATCCTAAGAGAGGGTAAGGCACTTTGCTTTGTGGAAGGTCTAGGGCCCTCCCTACTACATCTATGCTGAGCAAGGAATACATCCAAAGAGAATAGGATCCCAAAAAGCCAGTACATGCAGTAGAGATGAATCCCAGTGCCTCTGCCAGTGGCCCCTCAGTCTGCCCCAGCCATACAACTGTCAACCATAGCTGGACTGGGAAGGAACAAGCATGGGCCCAAGCTGTGACTTAAAATTCCACTGTGAATAAATTCTGTGAGTGTTGAATTACAAATGGTTGGTAACTCCTAAATTTTCTGCAGGAGAGGGTGATTGCTTTTGTAGCAGAAGTGATTTGTATATATCCATAAACTTTTGCTTGCCCTTTCTGCCCTGCTAATTTAACAAAACTGAGTGACTCATTGCTTTTCTTCCCATGGTGCAGCAGTGCCCTTTAAGTTCCGTATAACAACCAGACTTCTATAATTGTGTCACAAGTATCATTTATGACCATCCCTCACTGCTTTGTGCGATTGCTACTATTTGGATTGTCATACAGTAAGTCATTACTATGTGGATGCCCCTAATTGTGGAGTCTGAGCCTTTTGTTTCTGAGGAGAAAGTAGTTGTAACTAATCCTGTAGATGGGCATCCAGGATATAAGTTTAGGAGATAATACTTTAAAAATATTTTCCAAATTCTGACAAAAAGGTGTGTTTGTGTTTATTAAAACCAATGTGCTTAACCCATACATTTCTAGTACTTTTACAATGGTGTGTACATAATACTTATCATTTTGTTACAAAACTATTTATTTGTGAAATTTTGGCAACATGTTACAAGGACTTTTACTAGACTCTTAAGCAGGCTGGCCTTCCCCCAGATTTTCTTGTATCAATGACATTTGTAGTTTATCTTAAAGAACAATTTTGAGCATAGCAAATTTTGTCTTTTGCTTAGTTCATATGGTTTAATTACTTTTCTGCTAGCAAGAATATTAAGTTTATTATATATAAAAAAGGAAATGCCTTAAAGCTGGATTTTTATCTCTGACTTGAAAATTAGGTGACTCCAGGCTCTCACTGCTTCTGTCACTCGCTCCCCCACCTCATTTTTTAATATTTAAAGGATTTAAGAAAGTTTAATTAATCAATTTTTATTACTAAATTATTATTATTGAGAGATTTAAATTAAAAATCAAAAATAATTAGAATTTAAAGGGAGTAAGTTCTCATGTAGGGACAGACTTTCTGTGTATAGACAGAAGGAAAAAGACTGCTTTGGTTTTTTTTTTTTTTTTTTTTTTTTTTTTTGGTGTATGTTGTGTAGTGTGTGTGGTTTTTGGTTGGGGGGGGGGGGGGGGGGGGGGGGGGGGGGGGGGGTTGGTCTTGGACAGGGATAAAGAGAGACAAGACATAGAGTTGTAAAGGTGGATCTTGACTTCTCTCATTCTTGAATAATGGAAATGTATATAAGGTCTGGAGAGTACTGCCTGCATATACACACATACATACATACATACATACATACATACACACACATACATACATGCTCATATGTGCTTATCACAAAAGCATAATTTATACATTGTCTAGAGTGTTAGGAAAACTATTTTCTGTTCAGGAACTTAGGAGATTGTACATTTGTTTTCTAGACTCTCACCTTATTCTCCTAGTTAGGGTTCTCTTGCTAATTTCATGGAAGAAATAGTTTATTTCACCCTGTAACTCCCAACTTCCAGGTCATAGTCCATCTCTGAGGGATGTTGGGTCAAAAACTCAGGGCTGGAAACTGGAGGCAGGAACTGAAGTAGAGACTAGAGGGGTGTGTTTACTGGCTTGTTCCCTGTGACTTGCTCACCTTGGTTTTTTGTTTTTTTGTTTTTTAATACAACTCAAGGTCACAGTGTGCTGGGCCTCTCCCACACCAATTTTAATCAAGAAATGCCTTGGGGATTTGCCTTACCCTTTTTGAGGAGTGGGTGGGGGTGGTTGAAAGGAAGTAGGTGGAGGGGTGGAAGTGGAAACTGGGATTGGTATGTAAAACAAAAAAAAGATAGTTTGTTTTCTTTTTTAAAAAATAAAATAAAATAAATTATAAAAAAGAAAAAAAAGGAAAAGAAGCCAAGCTAAGGCTAGGCATTCATAACTAAGAAAAAAAAAAGAAGAAAGAAAATAGAAATGCCCCAAGCCCACAGGCTGATCTGAATGAGGTGGTCCTTCAGTTCAGTTCCCTTTTCCCAGGTGACTCAAGTCTGTGTCAAGTCATCAAAAATCAATAAATTTACAGTATCTCATCCTGTTGGGCCTTGAGTTTTGGACACTGAACTTGCCGATGTATCTTTAGAAGCCTGTTGTGTATGAAAATACGGGTTTGTTTCTGTCAGTTACTCAGTTATACTCATTTCTAAGTGGTGTGCTGTAGAGTTAAGTGCTTGCTGTGGAAGATGTAAGAGGTAGTATTGGACCATCCTACTGTTTCTTAGTACATGTGTAGTTTATCTTTGATTTTGCCTTATTTAGCACTTTTGACATTTGGCTATTCCTGAAGTTTTATGTCTTTCTCTTTTCAGAATCTTTAGAAGAAGAAGATGTTCTTGATAATAGTACAGAGCAGAGAGATGAAAACCTACCAGTGGCAGAGCAGACATGCCCAGTGAGTGAAGACACATCTGGTTCAGAGGAAGCAGAGGAGCAACAAGAAGAGACTGAGACCGAGGAAACGCCAGCAGATGAAGCCAAGTCAGCCGTGCTCAGTGATGATTCTGTTTCTCATCTTGAACCAAGTGGAGAACCTTTGGTGACATAGTAGTAAATAATTCCATGTGCCTTCAACTGGATGTTTGTAGTCTTGTTGATGTCAGTTATTGCTTTTATTTGTGGTACTCAAAAATTTGCCTTTTAGATATATTATTCAAATTCAGATTGCCTAGTGAGCTCAGTGTGTTCAAGTCCTGACTACTGGGCATTGAATGTAAAAGCACGTGGTGTCAGTGAGTGTGCAGAGACCCACGAAGCTGTTAGGTACTTTGTGCATTCTAAAGTTTAAACAAAAAAGCATTTTTGTTTTCTACATCTATAACTTGTAAGTAATACCCATTTTGACATAGGAATTTTGGCTAGGAATAATTTCTTTAATAGTGTTAAGGATTGAAACATAATTAGGATTTTGAATTTAAAATCATTAAATTTTAACTCCTGAGATATTTGCCAGTGGGGAAGGAAATACCTGTTTAGGTGTTTACATTAGCTGACACTGAAAGCTGTAACCCTGATTACATAGGCATCGGTACGAACTCTCAGTAAGATGCACCAACAGTCAAGGGCAGGGTTTCTTTTGATGTCTTTTCCTTTGCAGCTGGGCCAAAGGCACATGATGTATATAGTTAGTTTATGTTTACATATTAACAGATAGGAACTGCATCTGCACTTGGCTGTACTTGAATTCTTGGTATTATTTATATTTGTAAAATAATGATGATATATAAATGAATTTTTTCATGTGTGTGTTTTGTTAAGGAAAATAAAGATGACCTGGCAATGGTTTTTCTTTGTTAAATATCTAGACTTCTTCACATGTGTTTTGATGGATAACCAGCTATCTGAAAAATAATTTTGGTAGAGAGTTCATTATATGATAAATACATATAATGTTTTGGTTTTTCATTTAGACTTCAAATTCAGAGAAATAAGATAGAGTTTTTAATCAGAAGTTAAAATTTTCTGATTTTGAGATGCATTATGGCATTTGTAGTTTTAACTTTGAGAGACAAATACCTTTTTTAGAGTAGGCAGTTAAGTGCTAATGAAGCTTACTGGATTGAACATGTATACCTAGGATCAGGTAGGGAGAATTTTGATATAGACTAGTTATTCTTAAACACAATATGATAGTTTGTTCTAGCTTCCTTTTATGTGTCTTCTCCAGTATTGAAACACCTAGAAGTGAAGTCACTATGCCAGCAGAGAGACATGCTGGCATAGTATATCTGGCTAATCTTTTTGGTTATAAATGTCTATTTCAATTCTATATACTTTCTATCTTTTAAAAGTTTATTTTTATGATTTAATATCTCATCTGACATATATTAAAGAATCCAGTTTAACAGTCTGTGGTATTTTAGTTTAGTGCCCATAAATTCAAGCATATGGAACTAGACTTGAATGTCACGTTTGTAATCCTGGGCTTTTCACCTAACCTCTCTGCATTCACTTTATTTGTAAAGTGGGAAGAATAATATCCATTTTCCATAGGTACTCGAGTGATAAAAATAATTTATATGATGTGCCTAGCTTTCCTGCTGGAAAATTAGTAGATATTAAGGTTACATGGTAGAATTTATTTATTATTATTATTATTTTTATTGAAATCCTTATGAAATATGGAGGCTATTTCTATGGGAGATAATGAAATTTAAAAGCATGAACATTGAGTCGGTTTCTCCGCACAGAAACAGTTTGCTGCATTACTGTCATATGCTTGTGTCTAAATGATAGATTAAAGAAATGGAGAAGTGAAACTGTGGAATAGAATCCTTTTAAAAAGATGTGTTTATTTTTATGAGTGTGAATGTTTCACTTGCGGAAATGTATGTGCATCACATGTGTGCCAGGTACCTGCAGATGTCAGAAAAGGGTACTGATCTCTTGAAATGATAGTTACAGATGGTTGTGAGCGTCCACGTGCATGCTGGGGATCGGATCTGGCTGGAAGAGCAGGAAGTGCTCTTAACCTCTAAAGCTGTCTCTGCAGCCTCCTCTAACATTTTTGTTTTTTAAATTTCACTGTGTGTTTGTGTATGTGTGTGAGTGTGTGAATGAGTGTGTGTGTTGGTAGCACCTTGTTGAATTTTGTTAAAAAACATCTGATGTAAAATGCTTGAAGGTGAGCACCTCAGAGAAAAGGAATTTAATGATGAACCTAAGCAGCTATTATAAAAAATACCTCCAAAAAGAAAGGCAGAGGAGGGCTAGAGAGATGGCCAGTGGTTGAGTAAGTCTGCTCTTAGAGTGCTCGAGTGTGCCTCTCAGCACTCACCTGGACTCCCACCTGGGGCTCCAGGACCAGCCCATCTGATGCCTTCTCTCTGGTCTCCTAAACTCATGGGCATTCTCTTCCCCACAGATACACACAAGTAAAAATAAAAATCCAAATCATAAAGGGAGGTTAGTAAAACTAACACAACAGAGAAGTAATTACCGTATTTTAAAGCAGAAAATCTTACTCTAAAGTCAGTAGCTAAAGAGAAGGAGACTCCCCATTTCTGATTGTGGAGACTAGTGTGAGGGAGGGAGAGCAGGCTGTTAAGCCAGAGTGATGACTTCCTGTCCACAAATGGTCAGCAGGTCATGTGTCCAGTGTGACCTACAGACAGGGCTTAGCTTCTCTCTCTGTCTTTCCTACCTCTACCCCTCCATAGGCTCTCCGGTGAGAATCTCCTCTCAGTTCTGTGGCTGTGCTTTGTCCTTTCCTGCCTGTCGGGGGTGCCTCTCATCTCCCCTCTGAAACTCCTAGCAGTGATGGGGTTAGCACTGGAAAGTGAGTGCTTGCCCAGAGCACTGAAGGGGGGCTAGGACGCATTGCAGCTGTTCTCTTGGTGCCTGACATAGGAGAGCCTCGATAGCAGGCATGAACTGAGCTGGAGAGGACCCAAGCGCAGCACGTATGCTGGGGTGGGAGAGTGGAGACAGTGTGTCTTGTGCTCAGGAGATCCTGGTGCTCGGGCTGGGTTTATGAATTGCAGGTAAGGTGATTTGGGTGTGACAATCCTTTCCCTCCTTCCTCTAAGATATTCAAAGATGTCTTTATAAATACAAATTCTCACTTTCACTGTGTATCTCTCGCTGGCCTTGAATGTGCTGGCCTTAATAAACTTGGAGAGATTCGGCTGCCTCTGCCCTCGGAGTGCTGTGATTAAAGGCTGTACCACCACACCAGGTTCTGTATTGACTTTTACTTAACTATTTCCAACCCATTTGATGCTATGACTGATGGTAGCTGAGAACGTTTCTTAAATTGCTGCCTTTTGACATCTGGATCTAGTGTGGCCTAGAATCACATGCCCCCTTGTATGCAATATAATTTAAGAATGTTTCCTCTTTTAATGTATAGGCCAGTATATCGATTTTAATGTTGGGTACGTGCCTCAAAGCAAAACAGTGCAACGGAAATGGATCCTGCGCTTGTACAAGTATAGTGAAGACATTCCAATGTTTGTTTGATGAATTATAAGCTGTTTGCTTATAATGAAACTGGTATTCATGTCTTATTGTCTATAGCAAGAATTCCAAAGGCTTTTCTTACTTTCTAGGAGTTGGTACATTTTTTTCAGTTAATAGTATTTTGCTTTATACAATTTTTCAAAAAAGGCAAATTTGAAATAAACTTTTATTCTCAACTATGTGTCCTCATAGCTACAGTGTATGGATTTTCAGGTTAGAATGGTTTGGGTCTTGTAATAGAAACTGAATGTAGATTGAAATAAAATTGATATTCTTGAGACCTAGTTTGGCTGAATGTTGTGATGGATTTTTTTTCTTTTTTTTTTTATTGCACTATACATTTTTCTCCACTTCCCTTCCTTCCTCTCCTCTGACCTTCTACCCTCTTTCGTGACCCCCACATTCCCAATTTACTCAGGAGATCTTGTCTATTTCTTCTTCCTATGTAGATCCATGTATGTCTTTCTTAGGGTCCTCTTTGTTGTCTAGGTTCTCTGGAGTTGTGGATTGGCTGGTTTTTCTTTGCTTTATGTCTAAAAGCCACTTATGAATAAGTACACATTATATTTGTCTTTCTGGGTCTGGTTTACCTCACTCAATATGTTTCTTCCTAGATCCATTCATTTGACTACAGATTTCAAGATAATATTTTTTACAGCTGAGTAATACTCCATTGTGTAAATTAACCACGTTTTCTTTATCCATTCTCCAGTTGATGGGCATCTAAGTTGTTTCCATTGACTAATGCTGCTATGAACATAACATCACCACCAACAACAACTAACAGGAACTAGCAATCACTGGTCATTAATATCCATTAATATAAATGATCTCAACTCACATATAAAAAGACACAGGCTAGTACTGAATACAAAAACAGAATCCATCCTTCTGCTACATACAAGAAACACACCTCAACTTCAAAGACAGGCTTTTCCTCAGAGTAAAGGGTTGGGAAAAGATTTTCCAGTCAAATGGACCTAAGAAACAAGCTGGTGTAGCTGTCCTAATATCTAACAAAATAGACTTCAAAGCAAAATCAATCAAAAGAAATGGAGAAGGACCTTTCATATTTGTTACAGGAATAATCAATCAAGAGAAAAATCTCAATTCTGAACATCTATGCCCCTAATACAAGGGCACCCTCATATTTAAAAGAAACATTACTAAATTTTAAATCACACATTAATCCCCCACGCACTAATAGTTCAATACCCACTCACTAGACAGAAACCTAACAGAGAAATAAGGGAACTAACAGATGTGATGGATTCTTGTCTTCCTTTTCAACACATTTTTTGGTTTTGAGGAACTTTTTGATTTTTTTTCAATTCTTCAAATTATGAGACCTTTCTTTCCTTAAATACAGCAACCTTTTATCGTCCAATGTATTTCAAAATAAGCATAGCCAGGCAAAATTGTTCGGTTGGTAAAGGTACTTGCTGCCAAGCCTGGCTTTGTGAGTTCAATCCCCAAGACCTACGTTGTGGAAGAAAAGAAATGACTCCAGAAAGTTGTCCTCTGACCTCCACACATGGCCCATGACACAACGCTCCCACTCTGAATAAAAATCTATTAATAATCCATAGCCTACTGAAAGTCAAGATTTTCTGTCTGCTGTTTTCACTTTCCCTTCCTACTGTCCCCTGGTTCTGTTGGAGAGACTAGAAGCTGTTCAGGTTCAGACCGGTTTGTCCACCCAGCACACACCAGTTTTGAATCCAGAATGCTAAGTTGTAGGTGAGCAGGGTTGTAAGTGTGGAGTTGGAAGAGGAGTGTGAGAAGGATGACTTGTCTTCTGACCAGGAAGCTGGGTTGCAGGCCGCTCATTCCAGAAGAGTAGTGAGGGTTGTGGCAGCTGACACTGCCGTTCTCAACAGTTCCTTCCACAGGCGTGGAAATGATTGCGGGACTATGGGTTTTTATTATCTCTAAAGAGTGATGTATGCCCCCATTTTTGCATCATTGTCCACCAAGTCCTGCCCTTTGTCGGAGGGCCTGTGCTGGTCAATTTCTTAGATCTTTGTCTTCATTAGTCTAGCCGTTTTTGCTAGTAATCATTGTACTAGACCTGGCTGATAAGCTAAGACACTGCGAGATTCATAGTACTGACATCTAGCCTTGCCACCGCCTTCTTGACCCTTCTGCTTCCGAAACATGGGTTCATTAAAAAAAATAAAAAAAAAAAAACAAGCCAAAACTCCATCTATTTTTCACACGTATTGTGGGCAGTTTAAAGGTTGGTCAGAATCAAATATTATGCTTTCAAATTTGATAATGTATGAGTGCAGAAGGTTGACCTTTGCTACATAGTCATCCATCAACCCGACATGAACGCTAGATGCAGCAATTACCTTTAGTATAGCGGAGCGCTGCTTTAGCGTCTACCTTCCATGCAGTTATTGCGGAAAATTAAAATGCTTTTAAGTTCCAGTTATGAAATTTGTGAAGTTTAGCTTTTTTTTTTTTTTGGAAATAGCTGTGATTTGTACATTTGTTTCCAACACAAGCTTGGTTTTCAAAAGATCCACTTGTTCACTAATAAAGATAGTTAATTATTGCTCTATAATAGGCAGATTCGTGTAAAGCTATTTTGTGTTTTAGGCATAAGTTGACAGCTCAAAGAAGTTTTATCAAATGATATTTTAATACATAGGCCAGTGATTGTCTAAAAGAGCATTTAGTGATAATAAGGACCCTTTTGTAATAACATAATGCCACATACAGGTTCTGCCATCTGTAGGATTTTCATCCTCATGTGTTCATTTAGTCCTTCATTTTCCCTTCGATGAATGTTATCCACAAGCCAGGCATGGGGGATAGAAATGAGATTGGGACCCTGTTCTCAAGAGTTCATAGTGCCTCTGTTTTGTCTGATAGTCTGGCTCAACCACAGGAAGTTCTGAGATGAAAACACAGTGACGTCACTTAATTAGATGCTAAGTGAAAAGGGCACTGGCCAGTGTGGCCCAGAATGGTCGCGCTCTTTCTGTAGCCCCCACCCTGTCTTCATTGTCCTGTGACTCAGTTTACCTCTTTACTAGTTCTCTTGAAACCCCTCCTTTTCTGATGCAGAGGTTGTTAGTAGGGATGGAAGGAGTTAGGAGGCCTCTGGGAATGCTTCGTAGTTTTGTGTGTGTCCACACATTGATCCTGGAGAAGAACACAGATCTCATTTAATTTCCTAAGAGGACCAGGAGTCAAAGCGGGGAGGCAGTTGTGCCCTGGGAACACTTAACCACTAAATGACTGCTCAGCGTGATAGCTGTGTTTAGACTGGTGTGAAAAATCGAAACTTCGGGCACTAGAGAATTCTTCAATTTGTCCCCATGAACAGAAGCCACACTACGTGGTAAAGTTAATGGAAAAGTATGTTCAGTGTGGTTTTGGACTCATGATAGCTTTATCGATGGACACTTTTGAGTGGAAGAGTGGCTTGAAATGTGTCATATTTTTAGTTTTGGAACTAAGATGGTGTATTGTGAGGAATCATAATACATTTGATATTGTAAATATCATTTTCCTACTTAATTTTGTTCCATTTTATTCTTCAGTTCCCACTTCTTTTCTCCTAGGATGCTCCTGCTTCTGCAGTGATGTCATAAAATTAATTTTGCTCACTCATGTTTGCTATATCTTGTGGTCTTTTGTTGTTTATTTTTTGTCCTTTCAGGTCTAGAGATTTAGCCTAGGGCCTAGTGTAAGCACTCAACCACTGAGTTTTATCCCCAGCACCAAAAATTTCTGCGAAGCTCTTTTTACAGCTTGCTATCTTTTTAACACATAGTTTTCTTCCTTTTTAGTATTTAGTCTTTTCTGTTTGTGTACTTATAAATTATATAATACCGCTGTATAATTAGCTACATTCCTAAAGCAAAACTGGGTCTGAGCAAGATGCTCTCTGGTGGGACCAGAATTTGCTTCTCGTAGCTGTCTTCACATGAACTGCGTTCACCAAACTCTAGAATCAATCACTGTCCGCTCGCTACCATCCGAGGCCTTGTAGACATCTGCCACCAAGAAGAGGCTGCAACCCTTTAACCTGCTCTTTACAGACCTGGAGCAGCTGCCAACGGTAATGAGTTCCCCCTCCCATGTAGACAGCTGAGGGCACGGATGCATGGGTGCATAGCCTCAGTTCTTGCCTCAATTTCTCCTTAATTTCATATCCATTTGCTTTGTTTTTTTTTAGTTTGAATTATTCTGATCATTTATATTTTTCACTATACTAAAGGGAAGGGGGGAGTCTTTAATTTCTTTAAAATACTTAAAAAAATTTAAAATTGGTGTGATGAATGTTTGTTTGGTGTTAAGAGGAAACCGGATACAAAGTTACAATGCATATGGTCTGATCTTACATCTGAAGATTCAGATGTGTGCGTGCGTGCGTGTGTGTGCGTGTGTGTGCACGTGTACGCGTGTGTTAGACATAAATAAAAAGAACTTGAAAAAATACGTTTTGACTACTTCAACTGTGGGATATGCATTACTTTTTCCTTTTCTTCTTAAGTTTTCTAAATTTACTATCAAAATACGCTACTTATTCTTAATTTATTTCTGACTATCTACATTTACTATTTTAAAATAAACTTAAAATCTAGAACAATGGCCCTACAGAAAGATTGCCAGGTCTCAGTTAATACTCGTTGTTCCATATTCGGAATGTTTTTATGTGTGTAAAGTCTTTTGGGAAGGAGCTGACTTAAACTCAGCTTTAGAAGTGGGAGATCAGAGTCTGGAGAGAAAAAGAGTTTTGGGGGGCAATAAAATCTAGAGACCCCTGTTACCCGGAAAGTGGAGAGAAGGAAGGAATTCTCTGTGAATGATCCAGGGTTACGCATTAGGGAGGAACCAGAGTGAGGTTGCTCCCATGGCTTGCAGCACTCTGGGCTTGTCTGCACTGTGAAGGCCCTTCTCCCCACAGCTGCGTATTTCCTCTGTCTTCCTTTATTTGCACATAGATACGCACAGCTCATTAATTCTTCTAATTGAGAGAAATGAATCATACCTTCTGTCTTCTAATAAGTTCTTACTTTATTATATTCAATATGATGCCATAATCTTTGATCCCTTAACGTATTTCTTTGGACATCTCACAACTGAGCTCTTACAGAGACTATTTCTTAAGTGTGCTCAAATAATTTCCTGAAGTTGGCTTTATAAGTTTAGAAATGATTATATTGTAATATGTAGTGTTGCATGCTAGTATAGTTTGGTCTAGAATGTTCATGCAACAAAGAACAGTTACTACAAATTATGATACAAGCCGCACCAATTACTTATT